TTTGAATTATCTTTAGTAATTTGAAATACGAAAAACTGATTTATATGTAAATAAAAATTAGATGAAAAAAAAATAATAATACGCAATTATCAATATTTATAAAAAGGAGAAGAGAAAAAATGAAAGTTTATGTAAATATAATTTTGAATTATATAATGAAGTACATATTTTTAGATGAATGAACAAATAACATATTTAGCGCAGTCAAAATGTAATTTTCAAATATTTATAGTCTTCGAACATGTTATTTTCTTGACTATTCACTTGATTCAATGTAATATGCATGTAAAATTATATGTTGCATCATGCAACATAATTTTAAATTAATAAATTAATACATATTTGAGTTATAGTGTAATATAATTTCCAACAAATAATTTTGCAACATTATATTCATGTTTCAATAAATTACTTGCTTCACTTCAAAATAAAAACTGTTATTCGTATAATATTTCTATCAGATTTCATAAAAACAAATTGAATGAAAAATATATATTTTAAAGAAAAAATTACATTGATTTTTGATTTGAACTAAATATGTAACTGATTGTAAGCGTGCAAATGAGGAGAAAATCTTCTTTCCTCATGGTAGTCTTTTGGTGTCACGTCTATGATTATCACGGTAGAAAGCTTACGAAATTCCTAAATGACTCAACTTCTTTCTAAATGAATTTCATTCTACCTTTAAGAATATACTTTCCTTTCAAATTTATATATTTTTTTGTGTTTATAAGAAAAATCAATTTATAAATTACATTTATATGGTAATAATAATTATTACAAATAGGCCTTCAAAAATTATTACAAAACGTGACACTAAGGAAAATAAAGAAAGTAAAGATGATGTAATATCACCCAAAGTGTTGAAGTTAAGATCCAGAGTAATTGTTAGAAAATATTCAAAAGACAGCAGCAGAAAATAATCAGAAAAAAAAGTGTCACCATCAAAGGTTGCTGAAAATACTTTGGAATCTTTAAGGAACGCGAACATTTAACATTTTCGACAACGAAATATATTTATCTGATTAGTGACATTGCAATGTATTTATATTTTATATTTGTTTAACAATACAGATTTCAGTGTTTAAAATTTTTTTCATATATCCTATTGAACAACAAAAACTTGTGATATCCCCCAAAAAACACTTACGTGTAAAAAACTACGCCAAGTACAGGATTACTGTGAATTCTTCCAACAAAAAGTATTGATATCATATTATTGAGGCCAAGTACATAAGTCACTACATG